CGAACAAATGCAGATGAAGACAGCAAATGTAGAAGCAGCCTCCGCATAGATAGGCCTCCACATTCACAAAGGAAAAAGCAAGATTCTCAAATGCAACACGGAGAACACCAACCCAATCACACTTGATGGCGAAACTCTGGAAGAGGTGGAAACATTCAAGTACCTGGGGAGCATCGTTGATAAACAAGGAGGATCGGATGCAGATGTAAAGGCGAGGATTGGCAAAGCAAGGGCAGCATTTCTACAATTGAAGAACATATGGAACCTCAAAACAACTCTCAACCAATTTCAAAGTCAGAATCTTTAACACGAACGTCAAGACAGTCCTACTGTATGGAGCTGAAACGTGGAGAACTACTACGACCATCATCCGGAAGGCACAAGTATTTATAAACAGTTGTCTACGCAAAATACTCAACATCCATTGGCCGGATACTATCAGCAACAGCGTTTTATGGGAGAGGACAAACCAGCTACCAGCTGAAGAGGAAATTAGGAAAAAACGTTGGAAGTGGATCGGACATACATTAAGGAAATCACCAATGTGCATCACGACTCAATCCCTAACTTGGAATCCGGAAGGGAAGCGGAAAAGAGGAAGGCCAAAGAACACATTACGCCGGGAAATAGAAAAGTGATATGAAAAGGCTGAATAGAAACTGGGAAGAACTGCAAAGGAAGGCTCAGGACAGAGTTGGATGGAGAATGCTGGTGAGCGGCCTATGCTCCTCCACCAGGCGTAACAGGCATAAGTAAGTAAGTTGGATTCAGGACGCCCATTCCTTCTTCTTTGGAACTCACCGACTATATGTAACTGCATACCAGAGTTGATGTTTACTCATGAACTTGAAGCCAATTCTTTTAGATCCAAGCTCCTAGATCTTTATCCACTTAGTCATTTGGTTTGGATGGTCATTGGTTTGTACAAAAGTAATATCGGGACAATTCGCTTAAGATATACATGTTTGATGAGGTCGATTGACTGCAGACCATAATATCAATAACGGGAAGATTTAAACCGTTACAAAAGATGTAATTTTGTTATTTTTGTCACCTTAACATTTTTAGGTCAAGTCAAGTAGTTCGCTCCATAAACACCATTTGGATACTTTCAAAATATCAAGCTGTTAAATGAGTTAGACGTCTGATGTAAGTGAACGGAGAGTTTGGGGGTAGGAGTAATAAAGAAAACCCAATCTTCACTAGCATATACATGTTCAAAAATAAGTGTATAATACACAAATTTATAATTTACGCAAGTTTTGAGTAACTGGATATGATATTAAAAGTTTGTAGTACCTTACAAGAACGACTAACAACAACAAACACTGCTACATTTATAAAGTTTACAAGAACGAGTTGAGCGATAAAAGTTTTTGATACTTTTAATCGTATCACCCTGCTTATGATAATCTCGATCAACCAACACAAGATAATAACTGCTCAACAAATGAAATTGAGTTCGACTTAATATCCAAGGTTGTCGTTATTGCTATTACATGAGCAACATTAGGGCTCTTCCAAGGAGAAAAGCGACCAAGCCCTTTTCCCCTCGTATTAATTTATGGACAAACCAATACAATTAAACATAACAAGTCTCGGATTTCGGCGCGAAGTTCGTTCACCCATACGGCCAAATAGCATCTTAGCATAATAGTTGATTTCAGTTCTTGATGTAAACCTTTACTCCAAGTCATAGCCCTAACTTTAAATCCTTAACCCAATCACCCTTACCATTTTAAAACTTTATATTAAACTTATTAAGTAGGTGAATTGTCTCAAAATCACCTAGTGTCGCTCAAAGGTCATCCATATATTACGGTCTCACCGACCAATTTATTGGGGATAAAACTAGATTCCTAGCTTTAAAGGAATACTTTCTACTTTCTGGTAAGTAACTAAAGTCACATTCCGCATAGATTTAATTACTGGATGTCATACAATGTATCCAAAATGTACAACGTTTTTGTAAAAACTGTTGGCTGTACACAACTAGTTCCCATTCAGCTTAATTTTTGAACCGTTATTTTCAGGGACTCAATTGTTGTAATCGACTAAAAGCATATGCGTTCACAATCAACCATAACAATCAATTCACTGAAACACTATGCAGCGAAAAAGTTCACAAAACTGATAGTTAACTGAATTTAATCCAATCTATTCAACTAATGACCATTCTAAATCATACATACATGAATGACTCAGTTAATGTACACATTTCAGGTAAAGATCAATAGGTTGAAAATAATGCAAATGAGACCAAACTAATCGGATTTCTTTGTCCTAAGTTGTCAAATATCTTGTACATCAACAGTTATATTTTTTGAATATCCATTAATTAGAGTAACTGCTTCAAAAATCATACCTGACTATTGATTCTTTGTTAAAAATGAACTTATTTTGAGAGAAGAGTCAGGATACGTAGAGTAACGATTAAAATCACATAAATATAAATTAATTTTAAACTACTTTTACTTATTCCTTAAGATATTCTGAAACTTTTTAAAACTTTGTCAGGATCTGCACGCACAACAGAAACATGATATCTTACTTCATGTTTATCTAAATGATCTTTTAGAGTAACAGATCTGCTACAGACAAACAAAGTTAGCCTTATATATATTACCATAATCAAATTTATAAAAAAAGACAATAAGCAGAGTTGATGAATATAAATGTTGCATATCCAATTCAAAAGATAGTTCTAAAACAGCCAGCTGCGTCCGAGTAATGCCCTTCCTTTATAAGTTGATAAGATTTTGTGGAGCAACTTACAGCAACAAATCATCATAAGACTATTGATGGAGACAAATACCACATGAAGGTTAAGTACTAAATCCCGAGTTGATAGACAAATCTAAAAGGCTGAAGAAAAACAAAACGGTGATCAGTGCAGTGATGAATAATCTCAAACATTCCTAGTCTTCTCAAATTCCTAACTTCTGTAAGCTAAGATCTTGAAAGACGTTGGTCAACAATCGATTTGAGATACATGAAAAGTCTATTTCAACACTTTTAAATCGAATGGTGGACTTCCGTCGACATATTACGTAACATATGTTACATAACTAATGAAAGTAGCAAAATTGGTGTGAATATAGGTCAAAAAGTTATGAACGAACAATAACCCGTATATAGACAATAGGCTGGTCGTGTTTAAGTACACAACGCGATATCTTGAAAGTCAGACAGCCACATATCGTCCCAATGTCAGATGGAGATGAGATTTGCGTAAGAGACATAGTATTGGAAAACGTAGACTATGTCTTGGTCAATCAACTAGCTTACGTGAGAGGACGAAAAGCGAATGTTCGGCGCTTTAACCTGGTCGGTGGACACAGAGAGTTCACCTAGGGGAGTTGGAAAACCCTGATTCCAAAATAATGGTGCACATAGGCTCCAGTATTTTGATAAAACAAATTGCGTATGAACCTATTGTTGGTCATCGGCTACCATGAGACTGCATTTCCTAACGTTGCTCCATTGCCTTGGGGATTAGATCTTTAGGTGAAAGGCTCAAGGTGTGGTCCCCCAAGAAGACCAAGTGTTTTGGTTTGTGCATCCGGGTGTTCCTGCCCTCTTACAAGTCGAATGATTTATGTAGCACATATCTATTTAGTGACTCCTTGTACCAATCTTTATACGTTTAAATAAAAATAATAAATAAAAAATTCCTTCTGAAATTTTCATTAAACATTGAGGAATGGAAATAATAAGTTCTAATTAGAATATTATAGTTTTATAGGATAATAGAACATGACTAAATATAAATTTCAAAAGTATCGAACGCATACATAAGCACACAATAAACAAAAGAAAATAAAAAATAATTAAAATTATTACCTATTTACATTATTTGAAAGGAAAATACAAAGTAAAACAGTAACCCAGAAAAAGACAATTCACATTGTTCAAGTATCAATATTGACATGTTCAAATGCAGTGCCAGTAGAAAAAAAAGATGACATTCTTGTATGCCAAAATGATCAATATTGATTACTAGACAATGTCATAAAACGTACATTTTGTCATTTATTATATCTCTTATCAGAGATTCTGTGTACAATAAATACTTACATAAAAAAGGTAGAACTTTGTAAAGTTTTACGTTTGCCATTGTAAATAATTGCCTATGCAAATGTATAGAAAAACTGATATCAAGTCAAGAAATTATGAATACACAAATATCATTGACTTTAAAATTAAAACATAACGAGTACATGATACTAATAATAACAGTACAATTGTAGTGAACAAAACACTGGTCGGGGACAATCGAATGTATTTGACACGAAAATTATAGACTATCTTACTAAATTTTGATAACCATACAGCAAACAATTCATTTGCAAATTAACAACCGATTGTCTCAACCTTCACTGTTCCTTCTGTAAATTTTAATCCATTGTTCATGCATTTTCCTACCAATTGCGCTTTATTCCTGTTCGTTCCTTATCGATCTTCTGCCAAATACATTCTATGTCTGAACATAGCCATATACTACTTATATGGATATAAGTAGTATTATATATATAAAAAAACCGTTTTATCGCAGATAAAAATAAATAAAACTAGAAATAAGAAGACAGGTAATTAGAAAATTACTTCGACTTTAGAATAAAATGATATGTGACAAAAAGACACCAAAATGTTATACAAATAATTTACAAAAAATTTACTAAAGCAAAATATATGCTTAAAATGCAAACACATTTATAATAAAGAAAACAAAAAGATCAAAACTAAAACTTATTTCCATGACATTTATACTAATATGAACTTGGAAAAATGGAAAACAAAAAGGAAAGGAAAACAATTGAATTATGGGAATGCATTGTTGTAAATGCAATCAATACAGAATACTACTTGTATTATTACTACTATGATTAGTATTATCAGTAGTATGTAGAGAAAAATAATAAAATTGTATAATACAAACAGTGAGAACAGATATTATTGAAAACAATGAAATCAGAGGGAAAAAAACAATTCCTATTTTTCTATACACGTTGACCGGGTATATGACCATGAAGTGGTAAAGGAGACGACTTTCCATTATTACGCAAAATGATGCAACCAATAAATACTAAAATTAAACCTAATGCTGAACCAACAGCTATGCCGACAACTTCACCACTTGTTAAGTGCATCGGTCTTTCACCACCTAGAATGAAAAAGGGAGTTAGGATAAGGTTAAAGGTTGACGAATTTTTTATAAATTCGGATAAAACAGAGAAGCAAAAAGTGGTATCAGCTCTACCTCGATCACAGAAGAACCAAGAATAATTCATTTTTATTTGTTATTTGGATCTTCCCATTGATGTTTGGGACTGCGACCGACAAGCCTCATTTAGCATATGTGCATCCTGTGGGGATTGCCTCGATATTGCTACTAAATTACAAAGATTCTCACATCTGTTTAGCTAGTGTATTGCATATCCGCTTTTCACAAACATAACCAATTAACGGTGAAAAAACAATAGAAATATCATGCAAACATGCTGTATGCAACGTGAAACTGTAGGAATGCAAGAAAACAAACATAAAATAAGCAATTTATAAATAACAAACACATTCTGAAAAGTAGAATTTCATCGAAATAATTGTCGCTCATCAACGTAAGCAAAGAATCCCACTTAACTTTTGTGAAACATGCAAACATAAATAGGAAACGAGTCTTTTTCAAACGAAGTCATAGATCAAATAGCCTAGAATAAGCTGGAGAGCAATTTACAACAAACGTACGTCGTCGCACACGTTCTTTCTTGATTTCATTTGTAGTTATTTGATGTTTTTGCGGTTGTTTTAAATTTTCTAATTCATTTTTATCTAAATAAATTTTGATAGAGTATTAAAGCCAGAGAAATATAACGAAATAGAATGTATGATATATATATATATATATATATATATATATATATATATATATACGCGGGTGGGTTATGAACTGGGACAGTTAATCTAAAAGTCAGAAATCCATAGAACAGACGAAAGGAATAATCTGGAAAAATCAAAGTAACTAGTTAAAATAGAAAATTACAGATGATTAAAGAGAGTGGTCACTAATCAAGAATTATTCTGACGATTAATTATTGGAAATGTCAAAATGAATATTGTGTTATAATAAAGTTTATATTTTGCATCAAAATTATAATCGCCAGTTGTGAATAAATAGTAGCTTTCCACAATGGGCTTGACATAATTCGGTTATACGGATAATAATAAACGGCATCTCATAAATAACTAATAACGATAATACCAGTCATTGAATTCATCCTATGGTTGAGGAGACTAGTATATTAAGAGGAGAAAAGGTGAGAGGCAGTCATATCAGTCGAAGTTATTGGATCGTCAGTTAAACTGGTGCTATGATTATATGCTTCCTGAGATTATTATATCTTATGTTTGGGAACTATAGATGGTAATACGTAAAATCCATAAAACGGTGGTGTTGTATTCACTTTCAACTTTGTCTTAAATCTTTCGCTTCCGAAACAATTCAAAACTTTCTATGGTAGATTTTATCCATTTGTTTTGAACTACATTTCCTTCATTTTAAATTACATTACTACTGATATTAAACTAGTTCTATCTGTTAATTTCATATTTCTAGGTCATATAAAATGTAGCCCAAATAAACATTTGTATTAGGTTTTAAGATTTTTTAAAATCTAACTGGTCCAGAAACATAAATAGGAAACGAGTCTTTTTCAAACGAAGTCATAGATCAAATAGCCTAGAATAAGCTGGAGAGCAATTTACAACAAACGTACGTCGTCGCACACGTTCTTTCTTGATTTCATTTGTAGTTATTTGATGTTTTTGCGGTTGTTTTAAATTTTCTAATTCATTTTTATCTAAATAAATTTTGATAGAGTATTAAAGCCAGAGAAATATAACGAAATAGAATGTATGATATATATATATATATATATATATATATATATATATATATATACGCGGGTGGGTTATGAACTGGGACAGTTAATCTAAAAGTCAGAAATCCATAGAACAGACGAAAGGAATAATCTGGAAAAATCAAAGTAACTAGTTAAAATAGAAAATTACAGATGATTAAAGAGAGTGGTCACTAATCAAGAATTATTCTGACGATTAATTATTGGAAATGTCAAAATGAATATTGTGTTATAATAAAGTTTATATTTTGCATCAAAATTATAATCGCCAGTTGTGAATAAATAGTAGCTTTCCACAATGGGCTTGACATAATTCGGTTATACGGATAATAATAAACGGCATCTCATAAATAACTAATAACGATAATACCAGTCATTGAATTCATCCTATGGTTGAGGAGACTAGTATATTAAGAGGAGAAAAGGTGAGAGGCAGTCATATCAGTCGAAGTTATTGGATCGTCAGTTAAACTGGTGCTATGATTATATGCTTCCTGAGATTATTATATCTTATGTTTGGGAACTATAGATGGTAATACGTAAAATCCATAAAACGGTGGTGTTGTATTCACTTTCAACTTTGTCTTAAATCTTTCGCTTCCGAAACAATTCAAAACTTTCTATGGTAGATTTTATCCATTTGTTTTGAACTACATTTCCTTCATTTTAAATTACATTACTACTGATATTAAACTAGTTCTATCTGTTAATTTCATATTTCTAGGTCATATAAAATGTAGCCCAAATAAACATTTGTATTAGGTTTTAAGATTTTTTAAAATCTAACTGGTCCAGAAACATAAATAGGAAACGAGTCTTTTTCAAACGAAGTCATAGATCAAATAGCCTAGAATAAGCTGGAGAGCAATTTACAACAAACGTACGTCGTTGCACACGTTCTTTCTTGATTTCATTTGTAGTTATTTGATGTTTTTGCGGTTGTTTTAAATTTTCTAATTCATTTTTATCTAAATAAATTTTGATAGAGTATTAAAGCCAGAGAAATATAACGAAATAGAATGTATGATATATATATATATATATATATATATATATATATATATACGCGGGTGGGTTATGAACTGGGACAGTTAATCTAAAAGTCAGAAATCCATAGAACAGACGAAAGGAATAATCTGGAAAAATCAAAGTAACTAGTTAAAATAGAAAATTACAGATGATTAAAGAGAGTGGTCACTAATCAAGAATTATTCTGACGATTAATTATTGGAAATGTCAAAATGAATATTGTGTTATAATAAAGTTTATATTTTGCATCAAAATTATAATCGCCAGTTGTGAATAAATAGTAGCTTTCCACAATGGGCTTGACATAATTCGGTTATACGGATAATAATAAACGGCATCTCATAAATAACTAATAACGATAATACCAGTCATTGAATTCATCCTATGGTTGAGGAGACTAGTATATTAAGAGGAGAAAAGGTGAGAGGCAGTCATATCAGTCGAAGTTATTGGATCGTCAGTTAAACTGGTGCTATGATTATATGCTTCCTGAGATTATTATATCTTATGTTTGGGAACTATAGATGGTAATACGTAAAATCCATAAAACGGTGGTGTTGTATTCACTTTCAACTTTGTCTTAAATCTTTCGCTTCCGAAACAATTCAAAACTTTCTATGGTAGATTTTATCCATTTGTTTTGAACTACATTTCCTTCATTTTAAATTACATTACTACTGATATTAAACTAGTTCTATCTGTTAATTTCATATTTCTAGGTCATATAAAATGTAGCCCAAATAAACATTTGTATTAGGTTTTAAGATTTTTTAAAATCTAACTGGTCCAGATAAGGTATAATTAGATTTCGAGTGGAAGATAGGGTACATGAGTAATATAAAACAATATAACATCAGTGAGAAGTGCTGAAACACCATTTCCAAGTATACACTCCTATTTGATTAATGGATTTTATTAGACATAATCAACGTAGAGCCTGAAAATAAACAATGTGTTGATCCAAGTTATTATGATATATTAATAATATGAGAAAAAATGAACAAGACCAATATAACAAAAGGGGTTCAAATGATTACGATGGCAGTGATAACGGAGAAAGGTTGAACATTGAAGTTGTGGTATAGAAAGTTGTTTGAAGAATTACCGAGACTCCAAATCTAGAGGAAGATAAAGAGTAAACGATTTTACGCTACAGCAACCGATTCTGAGCTTTGAACCCTCATTTAGATGTAAGAAATAGTGATGTGACTCAATTGTCTAGACTCAATTAGGTATGACAGAGTTTGGAGCTACTACTTACCATCCGAAAGCAGAGCTTTAACTTTTTGAAAGAAATTAAAGAATTATTTAAGGTGAAGAACAGGAAAACTTTTGTATAAAGTACTCAGGACATTAATAATTGTCATCTTAGAGTAGAAATAACAGCAATAAACGTATAAAATCCTTGAAACTTTTTTGTATAACAGACATAACCCCAAATGTCCTAACCCCAAATCGTTAAACAAAACTTACCTCACTGTAATATTGCATTTTGATGATAAAATAAACAGATTAAAGATACCATCTCTTAGAATTTTTTTCACGTAATCCATTCACCCATATGACCATAAAGCATTTCAACATGATAACTGTTATCAGTTTGTAATGAAAACTCTAACCAAAAATAATATAGAGAGTCTTAAAAATCTATTTGAGTCTTGATAAAGATTCGACAAAATGGGTAATATCTATTTATTTAATTATATACGTATACACATTTATACATGAGCATGGAAGTATTATACATATCATTGTTTCTTTATTTACAGTTACTAACAGGAGACTTTAATAGATGCATAGAACATGTAAAATCTGTTTACATATTGTAACTATTATTTTCTTAAATTTTCCATAAACTAAACATTTATAAAAGCCGTTTCATGATTGACCTGGAACCATATGAAATTCATCCTGATTATTTTAAGCTCGTCCTTCCTACCAGATAATTATGATGCATTATAATATATGTATGAGGGTAATGCATATAAAAGAGTAACCCATAAACCAACAAGACACTCTCCAATTAGATCATTATGAAGCATCATTTTTTTAAACATGAATATTTATATGGATATTGGAAAATATCAAACCAATCAGGACAATTTATGAGTCAATAATTGCAATGAAATGGATTACATAATCAGTAAAAAGTACACATTGATAAAAATTATATATATATATATATATATATACTTTGTTTGATTATTTACACTTTTTATGACGTAACATAATTAATGTTTTGTGATGATTATTTTTTAAAGTCTATTTATCCAAGTTTGACCTGCCTTCCTAAGTTGAACTATTGACAGGAACTATTGTTATTTTATTATTCTTATCAATATTAGCAGTGTACACATGTCTTCTTATCATCAATTTGTACTTTTTACTTATTATATGTAGTCATGTAATCTATTTCTTTGATATATATAAGTATACTACATTGATATATTTATAACGGGAGAGCTTTAAAATAAGTGAATTACACAATTAATTAGTACTATTTTCCTATTTTCATAACTATCCACTATTGTCATTTCTCTCCATGTTAATATTATTCAACTAATAAATTGTGGGTGGGATTATTTTAACGTTAATGACTTTAATTTATTAATTCATAATTATGAGAAGGGGTTTTGTGGAAATTTAGTATTTTCATAGTTGAAAGCGTGAGTCAATTGAAGCTAGACCACCAGGGAAATCGTGGAAGCACTGGACGGCCGTTTCGTCCTATTGTGATACTCTTCAGCAGAGCGCATCCACGAACTAACCTCGCGAGATTCAAAACCCAGGACATATTAGTCTTGACATAAACACCAACGGATGCCGGCTAAGTATTCTATCGGTTAAGTGCTTTGGCGCGAGACTGGTAGGTCCTGGGTTCCTATCTCGCGAGGCGAGGTCGTGGATGCGCACTGCTGAGGAGTCCCACAATAGGACGAAACGGTCGTCCAGTGCTTCCAGATTTTCTCTGGTGGTCCAGCTTCAATTGACTCGCGCTTTTAACTATGAATAATTCATAATTGGTGTTGTTTTTCAAAAGAAATAATTAAATTAACACTGATCAACTCTATGAATGAATAGATTAACAGTGGCTACTATTCATACTAATTTTTAACAAATAGAATATAGAATGATTGTAGAAATTTCGAATAATCAAAAACGGAATTAATTTCAGAAACAACAGTGGGAAATTTCAATTCTCAGAGTCATCATTATTATTATTGTCTCTGTCAGTGAAACATAGAAATAATGTGAATATTGGCGCCAAATTAAATTGATTAGTCTATTGAAAGGTATATATATATATATATTGTGACATTTTAAACAAACATCATTGAAATCACACTGGTGAATAGAGTAATTATGCATTTGCGTAGAACAATTTACAAATGAAAAGACTGAAAAAAGCCTCATTTTACTGAACAAGATTCATTCATTTAAAAAAAAACGATTATAAAGAAATTAATCATCTCAACTGTGCCTATTAAAATATTTTTTATTGTTTCAATGTTCATTAAATTGAAATTGTATAATAATAATAATAGTAATATAGTAGTAGTAGTTATGGTACGACTACTCTTAATTTAATTATTGTGACCTGTTATCCAATTATGAAGAATAAAGAAAAAAAACTTACTAATGGATGAGGATCAATAAATGATAATAGCTAATTCATCCAAATAATATCTCTACTTATGTCCAAAATCCTAGTTTACAAATGACTATTTTCTCAATTAAAGTTTCCGACCATGCATAATAAATGATTCACATAATTTGGGAATAAACAATAAACCTGAATATACTATGTTCTTGAATTGTCTCTATTCACAAGTGAATGAAAAAATTGTATGCCATTTTTCTAATCCTTTAATAGTTTTACGATTTCTGACAAATGAATATGATAGTATCTAACCTCGAGGCTTCAAAATGCTCTAATACGGTCAATTAATGAGAAGAATCCATTCACCCTCTCGATATGTTCAGCCGTCTATAGCCTCTGGTGGAGAAATATTTTTATGAATGACAGGGTGATAGGTGAATGTTGGGAATTTGAGTTGGATCGGACCACGTATGAAGGTTAGAAAACCCTGATCCCAAATCAATGTCCCGCCGCCTAATGAATCAAACCACTGAGCCAAAAACTCCAGGAGTAGTTTCCTAAGAAAACCACTTGCTTCAGTTTGGAACTCCGGGGAGTATCCCAACCCGCACACAAATATGTGAATGAATAATCATGAAGAAACTAAACCGTTTGTTCCGTTTTGTTACAAACTCAAACTATACTGAGGATGAATCTATTACAAATGAAATTATTTTGCTCTGCTTATGTTATATTTGAAGCGATTACGAGTTCCATAATCTGAGAACGAAACGAAGACTCTGCGACCAAAGACCAATACGCTAGCTATTCTGACGCGTCCCAGCCTCGCTAACTAGAGTGAGATGTGCAAGTCCGAAGTATACTTCAAGCAGCCAGAAGCACAATCAGTCACACCAGACACAAATCAAATGCATATATACAGCATAAAATTGTCCTTCCGAAGCGTTACAAAATAGCATACTAAAAGATACAACAAACAAATAGCGTTTAAGATCCTCTCAAGTGGGAAATACGACATGAAGGTGAAAGTGAGCACTTTTTGAGCGAAAACAAGAAATTCAAACTTTTAAAATAAAATAAGGAAAATAAGGCATCTACCAAGTGAGTTCTGGGGATCCAACAACCCCAACAGCTTAAATATCTTATTGCGTTTTATTTCCAACTTCGACATACCTCTATTCTCAAAACTAGCTCAAAAGCTCATATTTATTGGAACTTTTGTTGTGTTTACTTGATTTGAGGTCGCTGAGTGCTGCTGCTCAACATATAACCTGATACAGATCTTGTCAAATCAAGTATGCCATTTAGACTAATATTCTTTAAGTGAGAGTTCTTTTTGTATTGATGTATTTCTAACTGATCTGTATATCCAAGTACATGCTATTCTTGCTCACTTTCTTTTTATTGTAGTTCAGTAGGCTTGCTTTATCCCTTCCCCAATATCATATTTTGTTTGTGTTGAGCATACTGTTATTTGGTGCCCTCAGTAGTCCTAGTTTATGTTTATTAAATGAACTAAAAGGACCAGTTCAAAGAGGTCACATACAAAATTATTTAGAAAAACGGTTCATATGAATGTAAGATGAGCTTAGTTGTAAAATCCCCACCACAAATTAGTGATTTCAAAGGACAGACAGAAAAAGTAGGCATTAGTTTAAAGGCTCATAATCATATGCAAAAATTAAGTGCTCATCAGTTAAGAAAAGTTTGTACAGTTCCCTAAAACTTATAAACCATTGAGGGATTCAATACTCTCTGTGTGTCTGTCTGGCTCTGGTTCCCCTGTTAATATCAGCTTGTAATGAAAGTGGCCTATGAAACCTAAGTTTTACAGAAGCAGATTGTATAACATATTCAGTTGTAATGAATCTAATTTTTTAATAAAAAGACATATGTACATATCTGAAAATGAATGAATAGTGGGAATTTCTTTGCCTAGTTTATTTGACACATTTATAGGTAAGTAAAAGCTCTATAAAAAGATACCTACCAGCACATAATATATAAACATTTCTTGTCAATAAAGCATCTTTATATTGTGGTCCATTCACTGAACACTGAACTTGATTTAAACCAATAATATCTAATTGTGAGCAATGAACATGTAAATTTGACTCAGTAGTTGTCATATCAATTGTATTTGGTGAATTACTACAAACATTTTCATGAATTATATTTGGATTTGTAGGCATAATTGCTTTAGTCATTGTCTGAAAATACAAACAAATCCGTTTTTATATTAGATGATATACAAAGAGAAATGTTATTTTTGATAACAGGAACATGTATCATAAGAAAATGAAATAGAAAAACAAATCAATAACGATTGAGTGATCCTATAGAGTGTAGTATGTTGTATAAACATAGAGTGATGATGCAACTCATTCATCAAGTATAGATATGTCTACTTGAATTTAAGCCATATTTAATGTTTAGAGAGTAGTGATGCTATGGAGCTTCCCAAATTGAAGTAGGTGAAGAGGGACTTGAACCTGCAACCTAATTATTTGAAGTTGAACACACTGCTATGCTATTTGGAATGGCATGAATTTACAACATATAGTTTATAACTCTAAATATCTTACCAATTGTGTTAATGGATTTGGATAAGACAATTTAGATAGTAGGAAATGAGCGAGAAGTAACCATATATATGATTTTTCAAGAATCATTCAGCCATTATCAAGACACAAAAGAGAATTATAGGTAGTTATTTATTATCTATACGTGCATATGTTTGGGATGTGACTTGGCAACCTTTTTAGATGAAAGGTTTTTTGGAGATTATTTATTATTTATTTATTTAAACACATAATTATTGGTACAAGGAGGCACTAAATAGATGTGCTCCACGTAAATCATTCGACTTGTATGGGGACAGGGACACCCGGGTGCCCAGACCGAAACACGTGTTTTTCTTGGGGGACCATACCCTGGGCCTTTCACCTAAAAGTCTAATCTTCAAGGCAGTGGGGAAAGGGTAGGAGATGCAGTCTCATGGTAGCCGATGACCAACAATAGGTTTATACGCCATTTATTTCATCAAAATACTGGAGCCCATGTGCACCATTGGTTTGGAATCAGAGTTTTCCAACTCCCCTAGGTGAACTCTCCGTGTCCACCGACCAGGTTAAAGAGCCAAACATTCGCTTTTCGTCCTCACAATTTCGTAAACAAAACCCCAGTCGCGAGAAGGCAGTGGGGACTTCCCTGGTAGTGGTTGTATGCAGGTGGCCACGTGAGAGCATTTCGAGAGGGAGAGCTGACTTTCCCCACTCTCGGCCGGACCAGGACATTTTGGGGCATGATTTGGCTCATAGGTTGTATACATCACAGACTGATATCGGTTGTGGTATTATTAGAAACGAGAGAGCAATGGAGAGTGGTACTAATGATTACGCGATCAATGTAAGACATGAAGGTTCCAGGTTCGATCCTTGATGAGGTTATGGGTACACACTACTAGGCAGCCCTTAACTGAGGCCAGTCCGTGACGAACACAACCCAGTAATTAAACCAGTGTCCACAAAACTTTTCCAGTTGAAGTATATATTTAATTTACTTGCTCACATGCATCTATCCAATCTTAAATGAAATGAAACATTTTCTGCATGAGTCAGATAACACTTCTGTAAATTATTTGTAGCTATACCAGTTGTTCAGCCAATCTGATGTTCATTTACGGAGAAAAATTTAACCAACCATAATAATAAATAAACGAAAAGAACAGATTTATGGTGCGGTTGTGCCGGGATTGATTGTGGGTCTGTAATTAAAACCATGATAGTTTAAGGAAAGGGATATTACCAATTAATAGCTGAGACAATTGATACTAAGAATCATAAAACAACTAAATTCATTTAATTATTTGGAAGTCAATACAATCTTCCAGTCATTTATTATATTGATAAGAACACGTTGAAAGAAATTTGAAGCTCGCCCGAACCAGAATGTTACAGCAGTACTTGAAGTCAGTGGCTATTGGTCTAAGATACATTAGTAAACGCATGATTGAATTCCATATGATTAGTTACAGAGATAAGGTGAAATTATTCGAAATAGGTTGCAGTTACGGGAATCCATTCATTTTTGTGAACCCCAGACCTTGAGGTAACACTTATTCTCCTCGATGCACTTTTTCTGATAACTATATTTGACTATTGTTAATACTTCTGTTTCTAATACTCTGACACACATTCTGATTGTTTTATCCCTCTGTGTTGATGTGTTGTGGGATCTAAGGTTGATGGGTATTTGCACCAGTTTCTTACGTTGTTTATGACCGACTGACTGACATTAAGAACTGGCAAGTTATGATATTGTAATTGTAGAGGATCTAAGTGAACATTTGAATAAACTATTAAAATTACCTCATTCATAACTAGCCAAGTAATATTAGCTCGGGGATGTCCACAAGTTGTTGCACAAGTAAGTTGAATTCCTAGTCCTGAACGTAAATCATACGGATTAGTTCGAGTGCCTAAGCCGATATGTTGACTAGGTGGTGTGCCAATGATAGATAAAACTGAATCCAATCCAGCTGTAGCCAAAGACGATGAAGATAATTCTGAAGGTGAACTGGAATCTTTGATCATACTTTCTTTGTTTGTCACAGGCAATGATGTTAAACTTGAAACACCCATCTTTTCCAATTTAGCTGGTGCTAAGAAAATATCAAAAAAAATTAAATTATCTTAACTAACAGTTAGACAAGTACTGAGAATTAGGAAGCACTGGAAAGTCGTTTCGTTTTACTATAAGGCTCAAAAGAAGTGTGAATCCATGATCTTGAAATGTTAGAAGTGAGGCTGCTACACACCATTGACATTAGATGATGGTTGCTTAATACCGCCAATCAATTGAAGTTAGGCATGTAAACTGTTGGGTGCCGACTCAGTGACTTAAAGGTTGAGTACTCACCGAAAAACCTGAAACTCTTGGGGGTCGATCCCTAGTGTGGCGGGCGAACAGCTATCTAATATTTCCTAGATTTTAATGGTTTTCTAACTGCAGTCTGTTTGTGATGTAAATTATAAAATTAAACTATCTCCATAAACAGCCTATACTAATAAACCCATCAAACCTCTTAACTTCTGCAACAAGCAGAAAAAATCAAATAAATTGTCACCTTTCTGTGCGACAAAAATAAATCATCTCTTCGTAACTTTTAGTCAGTGAAGAATAAAGAACAGGGTCAAAAACGAATACTGAATTCCACTGATAGCCACCATCCATCACTGCTCATAAATAATAACATTGTTTTAAATAGATCTGTGAAGGATTTTGTTAATTTGAAGTTAATTTCAAAGCGACAGTCAGAACAAGCATCCATAAAAGTTAACGTTGGAATTTTTGTTTCATTGCATTTGAATATCCACATAACTGGTTTTGTCTAGTTTAGTAAAATTTCATCATCGTCACTCTTAAGCCATAGTTTTACGAACCCAGCAAGTTTCAACAAGTGAGAGTTATTAGTCGACTATTGTTTGTTTGGGATAGCTAAAGAGATAACCAGATACGCGATCTTGAGTTATCACCTCTAATACAAACCTAAGGTATATTTCACACCAATCAGGAAGTATGGGATATTTTTGGTTCTAGTATTAGGTTTCCAAAAGAGCTATTCGACAAAATACGTGCAATACTAATAACAGAAATAAGATTATCACAACTTTATACATAAATTTAAAACGATTGTATGTAAAAAATTTCTAAAAACCAGGTCGCTGTAGATCACTGCTTTAGGTACTCAACTCTTAGTCAGTAGATAACCCGACTATATCTAGTACTTCGATATAGCAGTTAGACTTCGTAAACGTGGTGGTCCAACTGAACAATGTTGGTTGGAACACTTCTTTGTTTAAATCAGACAGGTCTTTTGGAGAACGAACTCATGATTCGAAGGCGAATTTGAATTCCCGACTGTATTAGAGTGTAGAGGCAGTACAGAATTTCCATAAGAGAACAAATATCTGCCTTCCCATAACAGAGGCAGGGAGTTAGAAGTTCGCACCCGAAACACTACATCTCACCTGGTCCCATAAATCGAGTGACAAGGCTTAGAATCATTCACAATGGTGAAAATACATTCACTATGTTTTTCCTTGGAACATGAGTCCTGAAATCTCTTTATACCTCTTTTCTTTTTCCCGATTTAATATTACTCTAGGATTCACCGTGTTAATCTTCGCTGTGCCAGTGTGGTATGGTAATTCTAACCAATGCACAAATATGTTGCGTTCTACGCTGAAAATAACCAACTGAACATCGCCAACACCAAGGTTTGAAAAGTCCAAAGTTAACACATCTGGAATTATTCACGAAAAGACCACATGTAATAGACCTTAAGTAGTCATTCCATGGGTGCTTTGGTCATTTTTACAGGTTGTCTGCTTCACTACAAGTAATTTAGTCCCCTTTTCAGATACCTGAGCAACAACTGTCTCCTCACACTGTAGGTAGCTGGGAGATGACAACTACCATACACATAAAACTGGATTTCAGAGTGAATAGATAGTGCATTCAGATTAAGTCTTTATCAGAGAAATTCGGTAGACAAACATTAAGATGGCTAATCATCATAACATAAGGTATCGTTTCGTTCAAATACTGTGTCTTAACTATAATCAATGAGAGAATATCCTTATAGCTTACCATATACTTCAAGAGTTTGTTTGGTTTTATTTGCTGCATAAATACACGACCAATCACCACGATCTGCCCAAGAAACCGATTTAATATGCAATTCATAAGTTTCAGCTCTTTGCCAATCATTTGGTTCACATATTAGATGAAACTTTTGTGCTTGGTACACGAAACACTTCTCTGAAATTACAGTTTCTTTATGCCGAAATAACACTGCATATTTTGTTGAAAGTCGTAGTCCTTGTATCTGACATCTTAAAATTACTTCTTGACCAACAAGTACTGGTTGGTTTGCTGGGATTACGGATAAACTGAATTTCGTAGAATCTGCAATAAATCGAAATAAAATATCTCAAGTTTAAGCAGAATTTTTGTGTGTAACAGAAAAATTTGAAGCTTTAGATTTTCTGCGTATTTGCAGTAAGCATACGCCATATATAATATACGAATGATTTCAACAGAGAAAAGCCTTCGATTAGCGAGAATTCCGGGTAAAGCGTGGAATTCAGATTACCGGCAATATGAAAACGCCCATCTTATAAAAAAACATATTCATGTTTGTTATTTCACAATGTCTTCAAAAACTAACTATTCTAAAATGAATATATCCTGAGGTTAGCATTGTTACGCCTTGTTTAGGAACTGCCAATGTCAACAGGAACATCAAAAGCAGTGAAACACTTGGATGCGTTTGAGTTTAGTGGGAATCACTATGGAATCAGTGCAGTAATTAGGTTTTAATCACTTCATAACGCCATTTTGGGTAGCTAGAACATCTGTAATGTAAAATATAATAGTATGAACACATGAAGATAAAGTACTAGTGCTTAAAAAATATATGCCAAGTTAGTGTCTCCTAGTATATACCGGTTTCCTGGTGGAAGTTGATCTTATCAAATCAACTGATTAATACAGTTAGATGCTATTAAGGATTTAAGTAATTAAACATCCTGGTGTCTTGTTTTCTATTGTCAAATGAGTCTTCACAATAAAAATAAACAGGAGTGAAACCTAAAACAAAGCTGGGTGTGCAAAATCAAACTCAACTGATGTTAATATATAATGCCTATAAAACATGAGTAACATACTTCAAAAGAACTGAACCACTCTACCTACTTTCATAACATTAACTCAATATTTACAGAAACGTTTTATTATGACTAAAATTAAGAATACATTTCAGACTGGCTAACTACTTTTTATGACTTCATAACGTTTGCTTCTCACCTGATTTTTCTAAAGAGCATATAATTAACAAAATGAGATGCAACATTGTGTTGTACCCCCGGCCAGAATGCAACCAAAGAGAGGAGAATTGAGGTGATAAAATCAGCTGAGATCAGGTAAGAATCTGGAATTTAAGATAACAAAATCAAACGACGAATAAATTACTTCATTAGGTAATAGAGATAAATTACATGAAGAAACATGACATGTTACTGAAAGCCAGAGAGAACTGGACAAATGTTTGGCCTTAGTATGTGACGTTTCAAGCGTAAAGATCCATGTCAAACCTAGGACCCTCAGGTCATACAGCGAGTGCCTAACATGTTTAACTACTGACACACCACTTATTGGTCTGAATCCTAAGATTCAAAAGTTAACCAGCGTTCCCTGGTTTTTAGTAACTGTCTAACTAGGATCGCTCAGTGATGTAAACTATGACTTCACATAATGCATCTGGCTCCTTTATGCGCATACATATAATAATACAGGAAATTCGATACAGTAAAATGACTAGTCTTGAGGATTAGAGGAAAATTTTTTCTTTGATTGAAGACCTAAAAGTAAGCAAAACTCTCACTAATTGAAACGACAGTTGCACATTTGAATATTGATAGACGAAGTTCGGCTAGCATGCGTCATGGTTTCTGAGCTTTCTCATATAACCTATCTGAACGCATATCGTCATTACTGCGAACAGCCGAAAGAATTATAGTAAACTAACTGCAAAGCTACTATGTATCGGACGACACAGGCCGAATCGCTAAGTAATAAGACCAGCAATATGAAGAGTACTTCACATAAATTCTTGATGTACTACATGCTTTTTCAAACAAAATGATGCAAGCTGTCATCACAAAAACTATGTCCACTCCACGACCACTACTGATTGGAAAAAAGCAGCTTCGACAATGTAACATCCTGTTGCTATTCTAGCAATTTCACAATACGTTATGACTGTATGTTGTAGTGCGGACATTTTTGTGAACACATTTCAAAATTGGAAGTGTAATTGAGTTTCATTTAAAAACAAGGCAAATTCAAGTCAACGAATTAGTGAGTGTTAAGTATACAATAACACTGGAAAAAGTAAAAGGATCAGGGCAAATGAACTAGGCTAGTACTAATCCTACATTCATTCAAGGGCAAACAACCCTCTCTTTACAGTGCGAAACTATTAGCTCAAACAAACAACAATGCTTTGGCGTTCACGCCCATCATCTCATTGACTAATTCAATTTGATAATAGTATTCAAGGTGATATATTGTTGTTCGTGATAATGGTCTTGGATTTGTCCTCACACTTATTCTTTCGTGTGTTCGGAACCATGGTTGTTTAATCAACTATTCTGATGATGTTCTGATACTGAGTCTCTAAAACTAATATTCACAACTTTATGTACTTCCATGAAATCACACTGAATGAATTCCACTCGTTGATGATTCTATGGGAAAGTCGGTATTCAGCTGACAAGTAATTCGTTCTGGGCTTATGAACTTTTTTGGAGTGTCCTCGTAAATTTTCTGTTTTGGAAAACAAGAAAAATGAGGGCATAGTAGTTGCAAATTTGTCATTAAGCAATTTGAAAACTCCAATCAAGTCGCTTCTGACTCTTTTATATGACAGCGGGAATAGGTTTAGCTTGGTCAATCTAGTACCATACGGAGCTTCGCTATTCCGAGAATCAGCCTAGTTGCTGTTCTCCGAACCCTTTCCAAGAGTTCACTGTCTTTTTTTAGGCAGGAGCTAGCTGCTTGTATGCAATACTCAAGTTTAGGACGTACGAACACTGTATACAAAGTCAGAAACGTTTTAGCGTCGAGATGCCTAAAAGCCCTATGTATGGACCAAAAAGTTCTGAAACCTTTGACGGCTATTGCACGGCAGTGTGCAGTAGTCTTTAAGTCTTGACTAACGATGACGCCTAAGTCATTGTGTGCCTGGACAATAGGTAACTCAGTGTTATTTATCGTGTATGTATCTGTACCCTGGTGGCCAATATGCATCACAATACACTTGGAAGTATTTATCGGCAATTGCCAGGTTTGGGACCATTCAGATAATCTCCCCAGGTCATTTTGAAGTTCTAAGCTATCGCCCCTGCTTTGTATCGCTCTCCATAACTTGACATCGTCAGCATGGAATAAGACCGATAACGATAGTAGACGAGGGAGGTCCTTTACTTCCAGGAGGAATAACACTGGCCCCAAAACTGTACTCTGGGGGACTCCATTAAGCACAATTTCCCAGCTGGACAACCTGGAGTTCACCCTTACTCTTTGTTGACGCCCAACTAGGAAGTCTTTTATCCACATCAATAGATTGCCTCTAATCCCGATATTCCTTAGCTTATATAACAGCCGGTTGTGCGGAACTTTGTCGAAAGCTTTGCTGAAATCGATGTAAGCTACGTTTATAGGTAACTTTTGGTCCTTAAGAGCGCACCAGCTTTCACGAGCGACTAATAAGTTTGTGAGACAAGAGTAACCTGTTCTAAAACCATGCTGCTTTTCGGAGAGGATCCGGTTTTCATCGAGATACTTTAACAGCTCCTTCCGAATAATCTTTTCTAAGAGTTTAACAGCCACACTAGTTAGGCTAATGGGTCGGTAGTTCTCAGGCTTATGTTTTGTACCTGTTTTGAAGACTGGACTTACTGTGGCCTTCTTCCAGTCTTTTGGTAGACGACCCTGGGTTACGGATAGATTAAAACATATACTTAAAGGGTTCGCAACAAAGTTGGCTAATTCCTTTAGTAACCTAGGATGCAGTTCATCGGGTCCAGTGGATTTACCTATGTCAAGCTTAATTAGCAGACCAAAGACATCGAGTTCTTTAATGGTTATGCTGTCCAGTGCTTTTGTGGGTGGATTTTCATGGACTGGTGAGAAGGGTGTTTCTATGGTTTATACATTGTTAAAGTATTTAGAGAATACTTGAGCTTTGCCAAAGTCGTCCTCCACTAGTGATGAGGCAGTACTATCACCCCATAGTGAAGGAACATTTCTTCTTCTTTTTACCCTTTGGTTTATATACAAATACAAGCGTTTAGGGCATTCTATGGATTCCCTAACGATTTTCTCTTCGCACAGCTTCCTGGACTTACGGAGGGTCGAGGCACAGGTATTTCGAGCCTTTTGATACTGAGATTTTGCCTCATCAGTCCACAGTAACCTAAATCTATCCCACATTTTCCTTCTTTTACGAAGAAGGATGTGAACCTCCCTACTGAACCACGGCGGGAAGTTTCTCGGCCCCCTAGGTGTAGTCCAAGGGATGTGGGGGCGGTAACTTTCAAGTATAAATTCCGAAATACGTCCCAAGCCGTTTCGACTGATGACTCTGGGTCTATTGTCCAATCTACTGATGATGCTGATTTCATGATTTCTGGTATGTTTGCGTCCCAGACATTAGGTCTGGATTGAGCTGAAGCGTGCTCGTGATCGACAGTTATATGGAAGTCAAAAGTTAGAACTGCATGACCACTTTTGCCTAGGGGTGGCATGCAATCTAGGTTTGCAACATCATCCTCATAATGAGTCAATATAAAATCTAGTAAGGATGATGCAGAGCCAGGGTCGTACCTAGTTGCTTCCTTCATGTGTTGCACTAGGGCACATATGATTACCGCATCAACTAGTTCCTTTTCGAAGGAATTTTCTAACGATCCAGTCCACAGATTTCCCCAGTCCACCATGGGTGCATTAAAGTCCCCTAGGATTGGACAAAGTGTTGAGACTGCTTAGCAGGACCTCGTTTACCTCACAGCTTGGACTGCGATAGATCGAACTAAGCAGCAATTCTTGTCCCTTGCATTTCAGGCGGCAGCTAACTAATTCAAACGTCCCACTCTCATGGGATACACTGTCGATAATGGTGAATGGAATGGCATTCCTGATGAATAGAGCTACTCCCCCCTCATTTACGCGTTTGTATTCTATCGGCCCTTACTAATGTAAAACCCTCGAAAGTTTACAATTTTCAGGTCTTTTTCGCAAGCGTCTAATCTGAGCTGTAGTTCTTTCTCAGCTTCCCGTCTTTTCAAACGGTCCGCCAGTGGTATGTCCTTACGGAGAAAAACTCCTTAACCCTTTAATTTGTATCCATTTTCTAAGATTAAGTCGAGTTCGTTTGGGGATTTGAAAACGACTTCGAGCAGTCTAGACTGATTAGGCTTCAGATGTGCCAGGTTTCCTAGTCTATACACCTTTATTGAGGTGACTCCGGAGATGTTTTGGGGCATAACTTGCTTGAGTAGTTGTTTTATCAACACAATGTCGTGCTCAAAACGAGTTTTCTGTTCTAAGCTCTCACTCACCTTGACTTTATGGAAAATGACTGATCTGTCGCTGTGATCAGACTTCGGCTTTTCGACCTTTTTGGTTGGGTAGGATTCCCTTTTGCGTTAATTTGTCGTTTTTTCCTTACGACCCGTACCCAATCGTCGACGTTCTTTGGAGTAGTAACCACAGTCGCGTGTGGCGTACTATGGGATTCAGGAGGGTTGAGGACGACTTGGGGGTCGGGTCGTCTTTCGCGCTGGGAGCTGACCGAGCCTTGCGGTTTCGGCTTCCAGAAGTTCCCTTCTGGGTAACATTTTAGATACGTGAGACAGAAGAGACTTTCTTACGCGAGTTTCTGATTGATACAGACCTCTTTGGAGGCTGTCCTCCCTCCTTTGGATGATGTGGGTCAGCATTTCTTGGACTCACTTGCGCCTGCCTTGTGTCAATCTGCGTGTCGACAGATCGAGTTCTGACTGATGTGTCCCGACCGCGCTTGCTGAAACACTTCTTTGCAACATTGATCATTGAGATGGCCTCGGTCAGCAGGCTATTTGCGTCCAGGCAGCACTGTTGACATAGACATATGCAACCATTCTTGTTAAATCGTTTGAAAGCCGCAGGCGTTAGATTCGTGCAAACGTCGTGGTACCAACCATTGCACTCGTCGCACTGCATGCCGCTGCCAACGGGATATCGACATCCTGGATGCTGGCAAATGCCTTTGTTGCACCTTCCAGTCATTTGAGGATGAAATGTGAGTTT